TCTTTCTCTCCTGCTGTTGCTCTTCGTTTTCTCGGGCTTCTTTCGTTTTCTAGAGGCTTTTTAGGTATAATTCAGGCCTTTTAGTCAAGGGAGCGTCGGTTTCGGCTTCTTGTCTGCCTTGTTCTTTCTTTCAGGCGTGTTAGGTTGGCATCCAGGTTTGTTTAGTCAATGCACTCCCACGCCCTTTTCTCTCTTATCCCTGCGGCCAACGAAAAAGAGCGAGCGCCGGCTTACGGCCCTGTGTGTGCGTCCACACCTGTACCAAAGGACACTCGTCATTGCGCGGGAATTCATTCTCCTAATATGTTCAACTAACCAAGCAGGGGGCCACAGACCTGCCACTGCCGCTGTGGTCAACGAAGAACGGCAGTGGCAGGTGTGAAAACGCACCTGCGCAAATTTTTAAGCGTTCCTTCAACTTGCACTTGAGCTTTTGGCCTCACTTCCGTTTAAGATCCCAGGATCCTTTGGGTTTCTCTGCAGACTTGCACTTGAGCTTTTGGCCTCACTTCCGTTTAAGACGCCAGGATCCCTTGGGTTTCGCCTGTCAAGGTCTAACTGCACTGGCAATGTAATCTAATCACTACAGTGGGCTGCCACAACTGATTTAGCTCTTGCGAGCATCAGTCTAAGTGTGTGTGCACATGTGTGTGTGTCACTTCCTGTTCCAAAGGGATGTACAGATTGCGGGGGGATGCCCCACACCTGAAGAGAGGGCACAACAAAGAGGCTCTTCAGGTTGCGCTGGCAAGGACGCTTGCTGACGTACCTGCATCAAGTTAAGTTTCTGGCTGTGATGTTCACAGGCTGTCACTGACACCCCAATTTTCCTTGTAAAGCGCTAATGCGTTTGTTCAACCTTCTGTTGAGCCGACCCTTCACTCTTACGGTTCTGCAAGTCCAGCGCTACGTACTCAGCAAGTACCTCACGGGAAGTCTCAAACTGATACAGCCCTTGCGAGCACGGATCTAAGTGTGTGACGCAACAGGGCCCCATGCACAGAGGTCTGTTGTGTGATCCCCGCCGAAACCCGCTTCTTGCACAGGCTCTCAAGGCTGAACTTTCACTGGCTTTTCGTCTTTGCTCGAAACTCACTGGCTCAGCCGCTTGCTCGAGATAGCTGATTCGACGCTGCAGAGCCACGCGGCTAAGTATTCATAGTCATAGAAGCCATGTCAATGTCACGCTGCTAGGTATTCGTAGGACGCGTTTGCTGTCTTGCTTTTCTTCTTTCGGTTTGCTTCATTTTCTAGGTCTTTCTTCCTTACTAGAGGTTTTTTCAGGTTGCAGGTTAACTTTTTGTCAAGTGCTATCGCACGTTTCACACTGAGTAATTCACGCACGGTCTTGCTCTTTCTCCTTCTAGGATTTTCGTTTCTCTCAGGTTTTTGTGCGTTGCTAGAGGCTTTTCAGGTGTCAGGTTAATATTCTTAAGGGTGCGCCGATTTCGGTTTCTTGGCCAGTGCCTTTGTGCCCGTGCTTTTCAACAACACCAACAACCCCCCCAAAAAAAAAGTATAAAAAATTGATCCTGAGAATATTTTACATTTCATATCATAGCAGTATAACAACTCAACAATTATTCATAAAAAGCATAACGGTCAAAAAAGTCAGTTTAAATATTGTTGATGGCTTCATTTTCTCTCAACAATATCAAAACATAATTACCTCTTTCATTTTTTCAAAATCATCACTACTAATCATAGATTACCTCTTTCATTTTTCAAAATCATCACTACTAACCATATTATACCTCTTTCATTTTAGAAAATCATAACAGACAATACATCATTACCTCATTCATTTTTACAAAATCCTAACTACTGACCTGTCTAAATTTCTTTGATGCTTCTCTGTTTTCTTATGTTTATAGTAATTTGCTTGGGTCATTGAACAATTACAAACAGAACAACTAACAATTTTAGATTGAAATGTTTTATTGTAGTCCTGCTTCGTTTTTCTATATTCCTCATCTTCTTCATATCTTTTTCTTTGAACCTCATTTCGTCTATGTTTATGTTTGTTATAACTGGTTCTTTGATCTGATAAGCACATTTTACAAGTTTTTAATCTTCATTACATTATTAATGTCCATAGTTCTTTCACAAGTTTTGCAGGTTTTATCTTCCATAAATATTAAAACAGTCATTTTCTTAAATATGTAGTTCAGATTTATCATTTTATTCATAGAAAATTACAACACCCAATACCCAAAACCAAACAACAAGCCAACAAACAAAGAAACAGACAAAGCAAAGAACAAAATACAAACCAAAACAAAGAACAACAATAAAGAAAATTCCTTAGTCTTTAATAATCC